AGCCCTGGTCATGCCGGGCCCTGGTCACTCCAGGGAGCCCCTCGGGGCAGCCTCACTGACATGCCCAGAGCCTCGGGGTCGGCTGTGGCCGCAGCCCCCGCACAGCCCAGGGGCCCTTCTCTGCCCAGGGCCCCGCTGGTGCTCAGGGAGCCCAGGGGAGGCACAGGGCACCACGGCTCAGCCTCGAGCAGAGGGGCCCCTGCACCCCCTCAGCCATCACGAGTGTCATCTCCCGCAGGTCCCACCGGGGCTCCCACCACCCACTCACCTGTCACCCCGGTGGCAGAGGCGGGGCCCTGGCGCTGGCCGTCGTGGAAGCCATACAGGTGCATCTTGTACTTGTGGTCCGGCTCCAGGCCCGAGATGGTGACCCCGTCCTCGTGTCCCGGCACCCGGACCGCCTTGGGCTGCCCGTCCCCGTTCTTGTACTGGACCAGGAAGTGGTCAAACTGGCCCTGGGGGACGGTCCAGGAGAGGCTCAGCGAGTCCGGGGAGGATCCCGTCACGGTCAGCTCCCCCAGCAGGGGCTTCACGCGGGGCTCAGGGGTCGTGGTGGGTGGGACTTGGGTGGTCACAGCTTCGTAGTCGGGAGCTGGACGACCTGGACAGAAACATGGGGGACAGGTGAGGTCTCCTCAGCCCTCAGCGCAGCACATACAGGGTCCATTGCAAACATAAGGCAATAAGGACCAGAATCTGCCGCCCACAGCGGCTCTAACTCCAATTCTTTCTGGTCCCTCTAATGTCTCCTTCAACCCCTCACAGTCAGCCTTCCTCCCCCGTCTCCCCACCAGCCACCAGCAAACCTGCGACCCCCTCCTCCAGCACCTGCCTCCCCCACCCCACCAGCGCCCCTGCGACTCCCCCTCACACAGGCTCTGCTCTCCTCTGAACACAGGCCCCAAGGTCCCTGTGCCCTGGGCTCCCTCCACAGGGCCTGGGTGGCATCTCACTCCCTTTGGCTCAGGACTTTGCTCCCAAACAGCTCAGACCAGACCAGAAACCTGCAGTCTTCCTGGCCCTGCTCCCTCCTCAGTCCTCAGCTGCCCCCGGGCCTCACTCTCTCTGAACTTCTCTCCCATCTCCCCGCCCCACACACCTGCAGCCTGGGCCACCCCCACCTCTCACCTGTGCTCCCCGCTCCCTCCTGCTGTCCCTGCCTCCCTCCCATCCCTCTGCGCAGCGTCCAGATGGGACCAGAAACGCACGGTGATGGAGTCGGTCTTACTTAAAGCTGCACAACCCTGTGCGCCCGGAGGAGCCCTGCTGCCTGAGCTGCCACCTCTGCACCCCTTCTCGGGACTGTCCCCCACTCAGAGCACTTCATCCAAACCCTCTCGGGTGCCCCGTGCTCCCAGTTCCCAGGCCTTTGCACCAGTTGTGGCATCGTGGATGTGACACCCTCTCCGTCCTATCGTGCTGTCACCATGCCGACACCTGCCTGACCGCAGGCCTCAGCTGTCCTGGGGGGGCCGTGGACAGGCTCCTAGGCCTCACAGCCCAGGCCTGGCCTGACCCAGGGCTTCCTGTCGTATCCACCCCCCTTTGCCTGTTTTGTCGGTTCACAGCCTGTCTTCCCACGACCCGGAGCCCCATTAGGATAAGACCTTGTCTCTCTGCCAAGTTCAAGGTCGACCCGTGAACTCCCGCGGCTGGGCTCAGGGCGCCCCATCTGGCTGACCCACTGCAGTCCTAAGTCTGGTGATGTCTGAACCGTGAGGTTGGGGCGCTGGCAAGACGCTGCTCTCTGAGCACCTCCCAGCCTGTCAGGGCTCCAGTTGCCCCCGAGGTCCAGAGGGTGGGAAGGACCAGGGATGCGGGTAGGACTCCCTCCCACAAGTTCTAAGGGAGTGTCCGATCCCTTGGCTGTGAGGTGTGGCCAAGGGCCCTGTGGGGGAAGTGACTCTCCAGCCCCAGCCCCCCTGCCCCAGCACCGCCCTCTACCAGACCCCAGGCCAGTAGTGGAGCCTGCGGGGCAGGGGGGTGGGGGTGGGTACACCGGTGTTTCTTCCAAGATGGTAACAAAGGAAGAGTCTTCCAGGGCTCTCCTCCCTGCCCTGCGGCCCCGCCCCACTCACCGGTCAGGCCCAGGGTGGACGCAGGGCCCACGCGCCGCCCCCCGTGCAGGCCGTACAGGTGCATCTTGTACTTGCGCCCCGGCTCCAGGCCCCGCACGGTGACCTCGCTCTCCTCACCCCCGACACGCACCACCTGGGGCCGCCCGTCCCTGTCCTTGTACTGGACGGTGAAGGCGTCGAAGTGGCCCCGGGGGACGGTCCAGGACAGGCTCAGCGAGTCCGGGGAGGATCCCGTCACTGTCAGCTCCCCCAGCAGGGGCTCCTCGGGGGGCTCGGGGGCCTCCGTGCTGGGTTCTGCGGGGCTGGGGGTCTCCTCCTCTGCAGCTGAGAAGCACAGACACAGGGCGGGTGAGGCAGGCTCCATGGAGATGTCTGGGTCTCCTCCCAAGCCCTGGTCATGGC